TTTTAACCTTGAGTAAATACTTTTTCTCGTGTTAACAGCTCCTAAACCTAGTTGACAAGAATTTTCAACTTAGGATGCTTTTCTGGTTTTCTTTTCAGTTCACACTACGATCTGCAGTCCATATCCCTTACTATTTGACTTATGCAATCCAGTGGTGGTCACCATCTGCTGTYTTTCCCACTCGATGGCACCTTTTATATTATTCTGCTAAGTAGATTGTTATGAAGTAGTATGTGTCCAATTAACATGGTAAATAATTTATGCATTTATGTTTTAAGTACTTATAGACTATAGTAACATACATAGGATGAAGTCTCTTAATTTTTCAGATGGCCAACAAATAGCATAAATTATTATGGTATTAWTCACCCTCAAGCCCCCCTCGGTCCCTCCAAAAATTGAACTATGATCGCACATATTATGTATTTAAGTAAAAATTGTAAGGTTACCTAGTATAGACTATAGTCACATATGGCCTGACTCGATTTTAACAATGCAGATTTACATTWTTAATCGTTAAAATGACTAACTCTTGTTTCTAAGTACCTAGTTATAAATTTATAATTWATAATTTATTCATTTTATTTATATAATAAATAATTAAACTTTATTGAAACCATCGCTTTTGGCAGGTGAACGCGTATGGCGAGGGATATACAGAAATCATTTTCAATCAAAATAGATTTTTAAGATTGGCGATTTTTCCTATCAATTTATTACCAATAAACATTATTTTTTAATACAYTTTGACCCACGAACACCAAATTAAACACTTTGATTTGYCTTAAAGGGATGGCTTTYCCGTTTACTATGACAGGCTTACACTTCTAGTGAATAGAAGTTTGAAGGTGATTATTTTTTGTTTAGTGGTTTATACATATGAATGAGTATGGTTTGAGTTGGTGGGGGAAGGGGCATGCTTTGCCTAAAAGTCGAATATTATAATTGTTTGAAATTTAATAAAATAYAATGCTTTTKTATAGAACATTGGTTTGGATGGATTTGAAATTTGCGGATTTAAGAAGAACCGAGTTTTTGAGATAATAGTGGGTATTTYCGTTATTATACGTATACCGATGTTTTGGATGGATTTGATAATTTTCGTTATGAGGGACCGACGAAAGGGGCCCATTARGAGCCAGCATATGTAAGAACAGGAAAGACGTAGAGTATGCTAAGTTGGTTAGGTATGGAATAGAGTTAAACATCATTCCATGGCTAATATTTATAATTTGACGATTGAACGGTTGATATAATACATTATACAAAAAGGGAAGTCCTTAGCTAAGGTTGTATAATATGATAATTCTATTTATAGATATTAATTGGCTAAAATGGACATCAATATAAATTATAAGCCTTTTCACTACCCAACTGATTTTCACACTGCAATAATATGTCCATCCTACATAATTTTACTTTCATTTTACCTACCTCTCATGTTTCGACTCTTAATTTTAATTTTTAATATCTATATATAGAAGCATCAAGCACCTATAAAGTTATTACCATTCTAAAATCATTATAAACATGACTATTTATTCAAGTTTTTTTTAAAAATGTGTTTCTAAGTTTCTGAGGGTGCCTACGCTCAAGGGAGGATCTTCGATATTTCGATAGGGGAAGGGACATTTATAAATTGTATAATTTTAATTTTAATTAATARCTAATGGTCATAATTATAAATAGGTATTGATAAAACACTAAAGCTGTAAATCCTGTTTTATCAGCTTGAATGCAAATAATGATTATAAAATTATTAATTGATAGTATTATTTATTATTAACTTTTCGTTTATATGATACTTGTAGTTAGATTAAAAAAAAAATT